CACAATCCTGCTAGTGGCAATATGCAGAGCTGAGCTTGTGCTTAGGTCAATATGGAGCACTTGGTTTATAGCAACTCTTGCTAAGTTTGTCTTGTAATTGAAGCTGCTGTTGACCTTGCTTGGAGACCATTTGTAAAACTGTTTATTTAGCATAAACTGAAATAATAAACCCTCCTTCTCTTAGGCCGATTGTGATAGGGTGACATTAGTTTGATTTAATGATTAGCCGCCTGACCCCTCAGCTAGAGAGAGCTGCTTGAATAGGGAGAGTTCACTAGGAAGCACACAGGAAGAATACTAATGAGCTTGTTAAATTTAGCATGGCACCAACCACTTTTAATTCCTCTAATGGGAGAAGCACTGCCTCAGAGAGGGAGGGAGACGAGGAGATGGGGGGGGGCGGTGGGGGGGAAGGGAGAGAAAAAGAGAGGGAGGAATGCCCATGTCCCGGTAACCAGTGAATTTTGGTCAAGAGAAGAGCTTGGAGGGAGCATCAGACAGGGTCTCTTGGACTGAGTTGTAAGTACCTTGTCTCTTTTACCCAGCCGAAGTGTGTCGGCAGATTGCTCATGAGACAGTAATGATCTCCGCAAGTTGCATGCAGAAATGCAATGATGAAACTTAAACAGATTTAACTGGGGTGGTGGTATCTCGTTTTAGTGAGGGTCTCTCTGAAGCGTGTCGAGACTGATTTTTAGCGTGGTCTATCAATAGATTTCAACTTTGTTTTAGTTGCTGACTTTGAGGTTTAAAGTAAAAGAGCTTCTACTTTGTCTCAGTGTACCAAAAAAAAGGGCAAAAAAAAGTTCAACAGGGAAAAAAGTTTAATGGATTTTTACATTAGGTTTTGGTTTTTCCTGATTTTTAATTTTCTGGGTAAATTAGCTGAGCAATTAAAAGTGCATTTATACAGGCATGGTGTCCATTGTGAGTTTTTTGAAGAAGCTTGTTGATTAAATGATGTGCTCCTTGGTGCTTGGCACTTCTAATAGAAACTGCTTCTGATCAGAATAGCAGGACTCAATCAGGTATTTTTTAATGGACAGGAGAATTTTGGATTAATGTGATTGAGGCCGGGGGCTTGCAACGTATCTCTGGCTATTGGCTTGTTAAGACATAGTAGGGTATACATGAAGAAAGAGAAGCTTATGCAGATTGCTCTTGGGGCCCGATTACTTTTTTCTTTTTTCTTTTCTTATTTAACCCCTTTCTCTTACACCCACAAAAGGTGGGATGAACCATGCTGGAGTCAGTGGGGTCCCACCAGTGGGAAGCAGGTAGAGTTGAGGGGGGATCAGTCCCTTTAGCTTTGACATTTGTCTGTAAGTAAGATTTTAGTAAATCGGATGTTTCTTTTGAGCCTAAGGCTGGCCACTTCTAAAACATGAGCAGAGCAGTAACAGTTCTCGTGCATTTGGCTGTAAACCCCTTTGGCAGATGCTGCTGGAGAAGTGGGCTGTTTGCTTACATTTTTGCTATAGAGTCCCGCTTGTTGCCATGGTGGACAGTATGTTTCTGTCAATAATTTGGCTTGGCGTGGCTTGCCTGCACTTACTCTTAAAACTTTATTAAAGGGTTCAACTGAAACAGAACAAGATTAGACAGCTTTCGCCTTTTGGTGCGCTGGAGTGGCTCGCCTGCCGTTGATGAGAGCAGGCAGCGTTACTGCGAGAGGAGTTTCCCCGCTCGTGCCCGGGAAGCTCCTGCAAACCATTTGCCTGTTGTGTCCTGGAGCACAGGTGCTGTCAAGTTTCTCATCTGTCCCCCATCAAAAGCAACTCAGTTGTGTGGAGGGTGAAGTAAATACTTAGCAAGATTTTTTCACTGTTGAATATGCCTTATTATTGCACAAAAGCCATAAAGTTTACTTAAAAATACTTCTAGGGGAATTTTTGCCTGGCAGACAGTGTACAGAAATGTTTAATTTCAAAGAGCAGGCAGCAGTAATGTCATGATAGGGAGAGAGATGGTTTGATGTAGAAGGAAAAATACTGCTTTTTTGTTTTATTTCTTTGAGGAACAAAAAAATAAAAAGGAAAGCTTATTAAAACAAAACACATTTTTCCTTTAGTTTCAAAGTTACTGAAAGTAGGTTTTGAATTTCATTCAGCAATATGAAAAATCAGCTTGTTCCATAGCAGTCAGTGGTACCTTGATTCATGACACGTGCATGTTTTGAGAAGGAGGGAATAAAAGTGGAGCCTGCAGACAGACAGCAGCTTCTTGTTGTATCCCAGGATTGCAGTTTTAACAAATATTATCTTTATGTGGAAGAGTAAAAGAACTGAAATCCTATCTGATCCTCAGATTGATTATATAGCCCCACAAATCACTCCAGTTTGCTTCTTTCTGTACTGTGGTAGCACAGGTTAGCTTGCTCTGCTTCAGGGTCTGTCAGGATTTCAAACAGAGTGTAATCCCCTATTTTTACAAGAGTTTACATCTCATCAGTGAAAGTTCACTCTGGGTTGAAATTTAACATAAAGACTCGGGCTAGAGAGAAACATCATGGAAAATATGACTTTGGGGTGATTTATTTTTTAGTTATACAAGCAGCTTTCTAAAAACCTCATAGAATTTTTAAAGTTTTAGATTCCCTTTTGCAGTTCTCTAACTAAAACCAGCTTCAGTGTAAAAAGTTGAAACCTTAAACCCTGCTAATCCAGAGCAGAGACCGGTGCCTGTGCATATTAATAAAAAGTAGAAAAGGGCAAAGGGTTTAAACTCTGCAGTGTTGTTATCCGTTTCCATTAACTCTTTCTCCTCAGACCCAGTCCTGGAAATGCTCTGTATGGAGAATTACTGCTGGCTGTAAAAAGAATTTAGTTCCTGGAAGATGCTGATAAGTCAGCAGACCCTGGTTGCTGTAATACTTGGAGATAGAAAAATAATTAAGCGCTCAATAGGCTACGCTGCTGGGTTTTCTTCTTGTTGCGACTTGGGAGGAGAGGGGGCAGGGAGAAGCCTAGTGAACACTGCTTTCAGAGGAACGGTGTAGCTAGTTTATGCATGTATTTGCCAAAATTCAGGTTCAAGTATCTATACGTACAGATGCTGTTCTGGTCTAATTCATATGAAGGCAAATAGGTTGAGATGCTGGTGTCAGGCTTGATGAAAGTAGTCTCCTCGTGAATTGCTCACTGGTGCTTTAGCTGTGTGAGTGAGTACACAAGGGCCAGGCACAAGTGAAAATTTATCCCTGACCTCAAATCTCTGAAGTGCAATCTTGGCACTGTTGTCAATGATCCTTTCCTTGCATGTGGGTTGTGGAGTAAGTGTACCTTAGGTTTTTTTTCCTAGGGGTGTTTTAATTTCCTTTCTAGTTAGCTTTTTTTTTATGCCCAGTGTTTAATAATTTGAGGTTCTTCATGCACCTACAGAACTGCTGAGCAATTTCTGAAGCTAAGTGTATTTACCAGTAGTTCTTCAAAACACACTGGGGTATGCCCGCACGTGCAGCGTGGTTGAACGAGGCTGTACCTGGAGCGTGGGTAGGGTGCCAGGATTACAGCCAGCAATCACGTGTGTGGTTGCAGAAGAGTCTCTGTATATTAAAGCAATAATGCAACTTAAGGAGAGTATTTGCAGTATGGGCTTGTGTCGTAGCTAACAGAACCTCTCTGCCTCATGGTATATGTGAGATGGACCTGAGAATGTGCAACCGACTTCTGAGGAGCAGAACCGCTTGGTCTGGCTTTCAAAGGTTGCACTTGATCTGTGGGGGTTAAAATTCATGTGGGAGCAGAGGGTTGGTTCAGCACCCGTTCCTGGGGCTACCTGCGAGGGAGGCTGGTGGAGCCATGGTCAGGAGGCAGCCTTCGCCTTGCAAGTGGTACTGCAGACCTAGAGGCTTGCTCCAGATGAGGGCTTGGCTTTGACCCTTCTACTCATCTCTTTCTTTCATTTATTTTCCCCTTGGTCGTTAAGAATTTGTGGGTTTGTGTGTGTGGGTATGGGAGAAGGGAAGAGCATGGAGAACGTTCCACCACCCTCCACGTGCACCCGTGTGGTGACCCTGTTGGTGCAGGTGGCCTCACTCACGCCTGCCTGATGCTGCTGGTGCTGTATCTTGAGCATCTTCACCCATTTTACTGTTGCCCACCTTACTTCTGATCGCTAACAACCTTTCTGCACGGCTTCAGCCTCTCGCCGGGGGCTGGAGCCGGGCTGGGGAGCAGCGGTGGGTGGCTAGGTTTGATTTAGGCCCAGCCGGAGGGGTTCATCTTCTCCTCGTTGTGACAAATTGTTTTTTGTCGCTCTGTCAAGCAGCCCAAACTCCCAGTCTCCCTATCCCAGAGGCAAGAAAACAGCAAGCCGGTGTCTCTTCTCCCAGGATTGATAGCCCTGCCGGTGGGAGCATCGGCAGAGGGGTGACGGTGATCTACCGCTCTGCAGGCTCCCGCTCGGAACGAGCCGGCGTCCCCTGGCCATCTCTCACAGCCACACACGCACCTGCTGTCACCAACTTACACTGTGAGGAGGGGGACGGGGGAGAGAACTTTTTCTTTATTGTGTTTGCTATAAATGGGCTAAAAGTGTGTCTCTCTGTCTCCTTCCCTTCTCTCTTTTCTTCTCCCTCATTTTTTTTTGCAGAGGATGAAAGTCCTGGGCAGACCTATCACAGAGAGAGAAGGAACGCTATCACAATGCAGCCGCAGGGTGGGCAAGGCCTCGGCAAGATCAGTGAAGAGCCTTCCACGTCGAGCGAGGAAAGGGCCTCATTAATCAAGAAGGAGATCCATGGATCTATATCGCACCTTCCTGAACCTTCCGTACCTTACCGTGGGACGCTCTTTACCATGGACCCCCGAAATGGTTACATGGACCCTCACTACCGTGAGTATTGACTGACTGTTTTGGCATGAAAAGTTGGAAGGCTGTCAAATTTATTGCAGTTTTATTTGTCGCCTTGCATCATCCCCAGGGAGAATTGCTTTATCGGGGTGGGGGTTTGAGGTAGTGCAATCTTTTTTTTTTTTTTTTTTTCCTGAAGTTAAAAACCATGAGGCAGTTGCGTTGCAGCTTGAAATTATCACAGGCCTCTGCAAAGCAACTTCCACAGGATGTCTCATCTGTTGCTAATCCTCCTCAGCCATCCAGAGCATTTGCTCCACCTCCTTAATACATGAAGGAAAAAAGTTTCATTAAAGAAAACACAGAAGGAAAATAAAGCAGGCCTTAAAATCCCTCTTTTAAAACAATGTTAAAGTACAGTATTAAGAGGAGGAAGGGCCCATGGCTTTTACAATGAAAATTGGGAGGGGGAGAATTGGGAAGTTTATTGCTATGTTTTTGGGTGTTTTTATTTTGTTTTGGAGGTTTTTTTAGAGATTCACTTGTGTGTTTGAGTATGTAGGCTGATGGGGAGCTTTTGCAGTTTTCTTCCCCTGAAATTGTAGTGGGGGGTGGGAAAAAAGACAAATGGCTTCAACTTCTGAATTCCTGCTCAGGCATTAATAAAAAAGTAAGAAATTAACTGACACTTGAACACAGATGTGGAACGGATTTCTACACAGGCAAAATATGAGGGAGTTAAGCAACTTTTTTTCATCTGCTTCTAGTTTACAATAAAAGAAAGAGGGGGGAAAAAGTCACTTAGTTGTGTAGTAATGAAGTACATCTTGAGGTGTCAGGGCTTGTGCCTTTTGATTATAGATTTATCACCCAGCCAGGATACAGATTTGCCATTTAACCTTCCAGTCTCCAGTTCCAGATGAGAGACTTAAGACCCACAAAGAGGGGCCGGTATGCGTTGTTTTTTTTTTTTCCACATCATTCAGAAATTTTAGTGTTTTAAGGCAAAAGGTCGTTAGCCAGACGACTGATTAGGGAGGACAGCTGATTAGTGCATGTTTTTTTGCTAAAGAAAGTGCCAGGGATAAAAGCTAATTTTATCCCTTCATTAGTTGGGCTAGCAGCAAAGGGGAATGTTCACTCATCAGGGTGCAGATCAAAGTACATCTCGCACAACCTGAAGTCTCGCCAACCTCCTTTTTTTTAAAAAAAAAAAAAAGAACCTGATTGTTAGTAAGGGTGGAGGTATTATCAGAAAATGAACACTTGTTGTCTTTATAGTTTAGGGGAAAAGTTCTGAGCTTTCTTCCAGTGCAGGCGGTTAGTTTCTATATGCCCTCCTTCTCCTCTCTCGCACAGCCCCGCTCACACCCTCTGGGGGAGTTACTCATCCTTCTGCTGAGGAGGATGTGCAGCAAGCAGCACACCAGCAGCAGGCTCGTCCGTCAGAGGTGTCAATGTGCAGAGCAAATGACCGCTTCTGAGCCGCAGCGTATAGAAATACTAGCTTGTGGGTTGGAGGCACCATTCGTAGCTTATGGTTTGTTAATGCAACCCCCAAATCTCACTTAAATAAAACCTTATTGGGGAAGCAAAAGAGCTTCCGTGTTTGTAGGCAGTACAGCTGGAGAGAGATGACATGTGAGACAAAAACAACCCTCCAAACAAACAAAAAACTTTATGCTGAATTTAGTGATGACGATTGCCATATTGACCATCTGACCAGCTGCCACCTCACCCTTAAACCTAGTTCTACTGAGAACTCGGACTGAAGAAAAAGGGCTGGCCAGTCAGAATGAGCCTGAGTGGTTTACATTTAGTTTGTTTTATTTTATGAAATTTCTTTTGACGAGAGTTCTCAAGATGTAATGAAGCTACTACGTCTGTATTGTGACCAATAATGGTAGCTAGTTAGGATGTGTGGGTTACTAGGAAAAACATTGATGATAGAAGTTGAGAGAACAGCAGAGTTTCCCAGCATGTAACAGGAGGGAAACAGGAGATGAGTTAACTTTAAATGAGCAACATGATCTTAAAGCAGAAGTTTAAGTCAGAAAACATCAGATCGGCAGATCTGCTTCACCACTGTTATAGCGAGTTGTACATCTGTACTCACAGATTTATAAAATCCCTCAAGCTATTAATGTCATATAAAGAGCCATTGTGCTTTTATTTACCTTTAATAGATGTGATATAGAAGGACAACTAAAGAGACAAATGCCTAGTTAGATTTATAGGAAAGCAGACAGGCTTGCTGAAATTTTCATAGAAGTTGTATCATTTATGTGTAAGACATACTTTCATCAGAGGTGACTGTATTCAGGCTGACACTTAAAGTGGTCCATATGAAGAAGGCTGAATAATGTAAACATACCCCAGTCCCACTGTAGCAACAGGTGAAGAACCAGCAAGGCTATCATTACCTTCCATAGCTTCTTGCCAGTTTTGCTGGGCATATGGATAGAAGAAAATTCTGTTTTAATCAAACATAGTCGAGTGTGTAAACACTTACAGTAATTCCTTAGTTTCCCTGTGGTTGGAAAATATAGACTTTTCAAGATGCCTAATTTGTGCTTCTATTTATACCCACTTTGTATTTAAAAGTGTGGGTAGGCTTCCTGTAACACAGGAAAAGGGAAAATAATTTTTTTGAAGAAGGACATCTGTATATTTTCATGGCAAGAAAAGAAAAAGAGCATTTAAGTCAATTGTGTGTGGAACGCTTGTCCCCTCCAGGAGCTGCAGTTATTAGAAACAACTTGAATATTTCACATTTCTACATGTAAATATGCGTGTCTCTGTGTATGTGTGTTGCAGGATTTTTTGTTGTTATAATTTTTTTCCTAATTAAAATGACTGATGTTGTAAATATTGGAAATAATAGTTACCATATATGTGGAATAAATAAATACCTCATTGAGGAGGAGTTTTCTCTCCTGCAGAGTGTGAGTGGGGATAATGGTTGTGTTTCAAGTGGACCAGCTTTTCAAACAGCTGGGATGCAACGTGCTATGGAGCTGGTGGCCCTTCTGCACTGCCAGAGACCCTCAGCCATTTAGCAGCTGCAAATGTGAGCAGCCTTGCGTTGTGCAAGAAGTAAAAGGGAAAACACACAGACCTAAACCAGAAGTCCTTATTTTCTGTCTTTTTTGTTGTGGATTTCTTAAGCACCATTTAAACAATGGTCACAAAGTCTGGGGGTTTTGGTTTTGTTTTTTTTTTGTTTTTTTTTTTTTTTTTTTAAACTTTAAACAAAACCTTTTTTCTTTTTAAAAGCTTTAGTGCAGATGATAAGAATGCTGGAGTTTCCTTTCATGTGTCACACCTTTTCTTTATTGAGGACAGGATGGTTACTGAGCTTAATGAGTTTCTTAAATGGATTTTAAACCCCGTGTTTCTCAAACACTGAATGCAGTGGTAGTTGGAGCCCCTTGTTAATGTTCTGTCTCTAGAGGTGGGACTGAGGCAGAGGAGGTGGGGATAGCAACTTCCCTTTGTTTTTCTCTTCCCCAATTTTAATTCCCACCCAGATTTATGGCAGTGCTAAGACTGCCTGCCTCACAAGTCATTCCTCATGGAAAAAATGAATCATTCCTGATGTAATCACTTTGATTTAAAACATACTGCTGGTATTCTTCCCTGGGTTTCACAGCTCATCTGAAAGAATTGTTATTTCCTAATTAGTAAAGCCTGAAGAATTATCTTAAGTAAAAAGCAGTGACAGTTCAGTTGGCTCTGATCTAAAAATCTGTATGTACAGGAATGGCCCTGGCAGGATTCTCTTTCTGGTACATCCCTTCATCTCAGAGAGGATGCACTGAATGTAGCTGAAAGCAGAAACTCACTGTTTCGTGTTTGTTTTTTTTTTCCCTTTTCTTTTTCGTTAGTGGGGATTTATTCTGCTGGTTTTGAAGCCTCTGTATCTATCTGGGGAAGTGGGAACTGCTTATTGCATGTTTCATAGGATTAACCCTCCAAAGGTATTGATTGCCCCCAGTTCCCACTGACTGTGCCTGGACTTGTGCTTTGTAAGGATCTGGCCCCTCATAACTGCCTGGGTTAGATTACCCAGTGTTGGTGTCATCTCAAAATCAATTTGCAATGTGAACAAAAGACCACAGCAAGGAAAATACAGTGCTGGTTCACGAGGTGTGCTTGTTCATTTACTGCGTTTTAATTTCTATTGACAAGAATTCCCTTTCCTTCATCTCCCTATAGAAAAGGAAGAATGGGGGGGGGAAGGAAATCAAATTCTGTTTCTGCAAATGCAAACTGGTAACTGGAAATGCTGCCTAAAAATGAAATAATCATAAAGCAATGACTCTTTGTGGCAATGTGGCTTGAACCACAGTGGCCAGCTACGTGTGGCACACTGGACAGTGAGAGCAGTCCAGGTCACCACCAGCATGAACTTGAGGAAGGAGGTCTCCATTTGCTTTGTAGAATGGGGAGCAGGTGGCCTCCCGTGTCCTCTGCTTGGCACACTTTGGGATTCTGGATGACAGCCAAGATGCTTTCGGATAGTCCTAAAGTGGGCACTTTTCTTACTTCTACCTTCCCAGTGTCACCGGGTGGCAGGAGCCTGGGACAGCTTTTTATAGAGGATTTCCCCCCGCCTTGTTGGAGAGTGTTGGTGAGGAATCCTTGTAGAGATTTAGGGCCAGGGTCTTTAAAGATGTTTAGGGGCTTTTCAGTTTCAAAGTTCAGCCTCTTAAATACCTCTGAAAATTTAGGTCCTACTTCTTCAGCTCTTTCTGAAGAATTTTGCAGAGGAGGGTCTTAAGTGATCTAGTAACAAAACTCTCCACTGATAGTGATTTATTGGGTGGCTTCCAAATGTTGTCAAGGAGGGGTAGTTGAAAAAAGTAAAATCTAAAGCTTTTAATAAAACTTAAAGGAACAAAAGCCTCTACTATAAAAGTGAATGTCAGATCACTGGTGTCAGCTGAGCAACTGAAATGTTGGTCTTTAAGAAAATATGTTTGCAAAAACATTTTTTGGGATAAAAACCTAGAATCATAAAATCATAGAATGGTTTGGGT